TAGTGTTTTGGGTTTACATAAAAAGATAGCACCATGTGACATTATTTACACCTGGTGACCTCGGGTCACCATTGGGGTGTGGGGGGGGTTTGGTTGGTGTTAAACAACTGTGTAGTAACGACTAGTTCTGACTGTATATAGATAGGCTTACTGTGAAGTGTATCGTGATAAATTAGTCTTGTTTTGCTTACGGATGCAGTAGTCATCTCTGGAAGGTATAGAGATCATTTTTCTGTCAGAGAAAAGGCCAAAAAGATCAGCTTTAGTGCAAGCTTTATAAGGATCAGCTAGAAATGGCACAACCTAGAGTCCCAAATCAGTGTGGTTCTACATGTGTAGTAGGCATTGACAGGCATAGACAAAAACTGGTTCACCGCAAGACACCCAGAAACAAGGCCAAGAATGCGGCTCACGCTGTTCAGTGTAGTGAAGAGTGCAGCTGTTCACCTACACCTGAAAGCCTAACGGACACTTGTTTGAGGAGGTGTTCTTAAAAAATAAGCTGTCAACTACTTCCAAAGCACTTTTAGGAACAATACCAGCAGATGGCACACACGTCTAATCATGTTTATTACGGTGCAGGGATTCCATTTAGGCTAAAAAAAAAAATATTCAAGAAATACCAGGATGGATGCTTGGTGTTTATAACCATATTTTTAGGATATATAAAATGGTTCTTTTTTTTTTTTTTGTATAGGCATATAATGTGATGTGACTGTGCCCCTTTAAATCCTACGTATATATTCTGAACTATATCAACTGTTCCAAACCACTATCCTTTTAATATTTGTGTTACACAACACAAAATATACAACTATTTACTCTAATAAGCATGCTAAAATTAATGCTTATGGGGTTTATTTATTGTTTATACAAATATTTTTCTCAAATTATCTTACTAGCTGTGTAACTTTAACTCTTTAAATTTAACTGCAAAAGTAATACAGTTCAATTCAGTTTATTTTTATAGCGCCAATTCACAACTCTTGTCATCTCAAGGAACTTTCCAGTTCACCAGATCATCCAGTCAGACTGATCTAAAGTTTTCTATCTAAGGAAAACCAGCTGATTGCATCGACTCATTGACTCTTCAGCAATCCCTCACACTAAGCATGCTTGTAGCGACAGTGGAGAGGAAAAACTCCCTTTGAACAGGAAGAAACCTCCAGCAGAACCAGGCTCAGTGTGAGCGGCCATCTGCTGAGGCCCACTGGGGTTTAAGGAGACAGAAGCAGACATAGAAAAAGAAACATAGATACAAAAGGCTGCTGCATAGGGCGGCCTCCAGGATGGAGTCACAGTCAAAATGGAAAAGACCGGATGAAGCTACTATGAGAAAAAGCAGAGAAAACAGAACGTTAGAGATTGAACTAACAGATTCTGCAGAGTGGGAGAATAGAGATAGAATGAAGCAGAATGATGAAATTCACTAAGGGAAATTGTGTTACAATTTTTGTATTAAATTATCCTAAATTGTACTAAAGTCTTCTTTTATTTTCTGCCTTTAAGCAAAATGAGACCTTTTTCTTATGCAACTGCACCATGGCCAAATGCATTGAGAACAACACCATTGAAATAGTTCCGTATGAGTGTCCACCACTCCAGAACATAACATGTTCCAATGGAAAGAAACCTGTTCTTGCATATGATGAGTACTACTGCTGCCAACATTATGTTTGTGACTGTAAGTGTTTCTGTGCAGACTAACCGGTATGTTTAACATTTAAGTTTCCCTTTAAGTCAAATTATATTTTGATATTGCATTGTCTTTTTTTTTATTTAGGTGTATGCGAAGGCTGGGGAGATCCTCATTACATCACATTTGATGGTTTATACTACAGTTACCAAGGAAACTGTACTTATGTTTTGATGGAGGAGATCACACCAAAATTCAATCTAAAGATATATATTGACAATGTATTTTGTGATCCCACTGAAGATGTTTCTTGTCCAAGATCATTAACTATAGAATATGGATTTAAAATTGTCACTCTCATCAATCATAACCTTGTTGGAGCTCCACAACTAGAGGTAAAATTTTAAAAAGTTATTTAGTAGTAACTAGCTTGAAGTGATATTTGATCAATGCCAATGGAGTAGCACTCATTATATAATTTTTCCATGAGTTATATGACATTTTTCCTTCATTTTGTTTTATGTACCTTTAGGCATTAGAAAATGGTGAAAAACTGAAACTACCTCATTCAAAAGATGGGATTAAGATCATGAGTTCTGGGATTAACTTGGTTTATGAGATCCCTCGCCTAAAAGTTGTAATTACATTTGGAATGACTGGCTTTAGTGTCAACCTTCCATATCAGAACTTTGGAGGCAACACAGAGGGTCATTGTGGTAAGAGCTCTATCTCAAATTTTTACTCTGATTAGAATTTAGGATGTTAAGTGAATTAAAACTGTTTAAAATCATTTTTAGGAACATGCACCAACAATCAGGCTGATGACTGCAGGCTGCCGACAGGCGAACTGGTGGGAAATTGTGCAGTGATGGCAGACTATTGGCCAGCGGGTAACATTTATCAACCCAACTGCCCAACACCACCTTCAGTACCCACTGATGTACCTGAGTCACCATTAGAACCAACTCCATGCAAGCCAGACTCCATTTGCGATATGATTAAGGAAAGGTAGACAGACCTGTACCAACTGTTTATGCCTAAAATTATTTTCTTAAGTAAGTTTAAACGACCTAATTTTGTTTATCTTTGTATTTTTTTGCAGTGTTTTTGCAGAATGTCACCCCTTCGTTTCACCAGACAATTTCTACAAAGGTTGTGTTTTTGATAGCTGCCACGTTTTGAATCCTACAGTAGAGTGCACAAGTTTGCAGACTTATGCTGCTGCCTGTGCTCAGGCTGGAATTTGCATCCACTGGAGAAACCACACCAAAATCTGCGGTAAGATACACTTCATATTTTATACTGAGGCAGCAGATTGAAATGGAAAAAGGATTATTTTTATATTTGCATCATTAAGCACTTAAACAACACACAAAACCACGCTTTATAAGACAACATTTTGTTTGATCTTTTCTTTTAAGTATTTGGTCTTTTGTTATCAACAGCTAACGACTGCCCATCTGACAAGGTATATAAGCCTTGTGGTCCTGTAGAACAGCCAACTTGTGAAGACAAGTACGTTCTCGCACAGATTTAGAATATGGAATGATTGTATTACATGTTTTCCTTATGCTTCTATCCAAAAAAAGTACTAGTGTTGTTGTTCCTGATATAATAACCTGTGCAATTGAATTGTCCTTTGCAGTCCAGAGGAAACAACCCTAAATTTTACTACTGAGGGCTGCTTCTGCCCTGAAGGAATGAAACTCTTCAACAAAGAATCAGGAATATGTGTTAAGAAGTGTGGTAAGCAGGATATATCTCACCTAAAGCTGCAAAAAACGTCAATTTATTTATTAAATCAAACGCAAATTGATTCAGTATTGCTCTTAATCCTCTAACAGGATGTCTTGATCCAGAGGGTAATTCCCGCGAGGTGAGACAACATTGCTCCTCCTGATTGTATACTCCTGAAATCTATTGCAAAAGACTTTTAACTCACAACTGGGGTTTAATCTTTCAGTTTAACGAGAAGTTTGAGTACAAATGCCAGGACTGCATTTGTGATAAGCCGACCAAAACTGTGATTTGCAAACCTAAGACATGCCCGGTACAACCCAGTGCACTCTGCACAGATCCAGGGTTTGTTGCTGTGAACCAAACAAATCCTGCGGATCCCTGCTGCTTTACCTATGTTTGTCGTAAGACACCTATCATCAATCCATGTTTTTTAATTAAATATTTTTGCTGCTGCTATTCAATATTTAACTCTGCCAATGTATTAATCTTTCACAGAATGCCAAATCAACACGTGCCCAGTAAACTCTAAGAGCTGTCCAGTTGGATACAGGCCAGTCCTCAGTGTTCCTGAAGGAAAATGTTGTCCAGAATATTCATGTGGTGAGGCACTGTGGTTCAGTTTAAAGTTTTATTATATATTTAACCAAACAATAGAAAAGACAAAACATTAATGGGAAAATACAGAACATGTAATAAAGTGAAACAAATATATTCAACTCAAATTTACACCAAATTCAGCGAATATAAAGTAAGAAAAAGGATGAAAGAAATAGGTTTAAGTGCAGAGCACAACTTTTAACATCTTACCATTGCATTAGTGGAGAAACCGTGAAAGAGAGACACGGTTTATAAGATTATGGTTTGATGGAACTAGATTTCTTTTAATAAAGTTTAAGCATCAACAACTATGTTAAAATTTGATCACATGATTAGGGTCTAAATGCTGAGAAAATAAAACTGATAAACTCAAGCTGGTTATTAAAGTAATAATAAAGTGATTAGAGCAAACATGTTTTTAAAAAAAAGGAACATGCTGACAGTGCTGCAGGATTGGTGGTATAACCTATGTGTGGACTACAAGACGGTGCACCTATAGTATCTTCATAGTACTAGTATTTCTTTATAGTACTAATAGGGTTGTCACAATACTAAACTTTTCAACTCGATACCGATACTAAGGAAAATATTCGATACTCGATACCATTTTCGATACCACAAGGATAAAAACAAACACTCCAAAATTCTACAGAAATATTTTCATTAATATTTGTTTCGGGATCGATACTTTTTTGAGTATCGATACTTTTGACAACCCTAAGTACTAGTATTTCTTTTTTAATAAATTCTTAAACCCAAGGAGTAAATTATACTTATTCAAACATGACATGCATGTTGCAGCTCTCCACCACAGTATTTTTTAAATTTGTAATTGTTTTAAAGGTTCATCTTTTATTTTGACATGTGCTTCTGGTGTGCTTCATGGCTGCTGCAGGCTTTGACTCCCTCCCATGTTAACTTTATCTTTTTCATTTTCTTGAACATTCCTAGAGCCTAAACGAGTTTGTGTCCATAAGGATGTTGAATACCAGGTAAAAAAATTATATACCTATATATATATATGTATAAATTCCCTGATGTGTGACTGTATCTGAGTGCAAGTATGAGATAATTATTTATTTATTTTTTCTCAGCCTGGTTCCTCAGTTCCTGCGAATCCATGCCAGGAATGTATCTGCACCAACGAAGTCGACCCAAAATCGGATCTGTTTAAAGTAGTGTGCGAGTTTCCGTTATGTGATGAGACCTGTGACATGGTAAGAAAATTTCAGTTATTTACAAAATGCCTTCTTGTAAAACAGGACCTGCTCAGTATGAGACTGAGTTTAACTTTTTTGCTTTTTTTTTTATTTTAGGGATATGGTTATGTAGAAACTACCTCTGATGAATGCTGTGGAAAGTGTGTACAGAACCAATGTGTCCTGAACCTTAATGGCACCAAGCAACTCTTAAAGGTAAGTTGGTTCCCCTCTATTGGTTCAGTATTTCCATATATATTAGTACAATTTGACGCAGTGTTTAAATATCTTTACTTGCTGATCTGAAGGAAGGAGAAACCTGGTCACCACCTGAAAACATGTGTGAGCGCTACACCTGTATGAGGACTGGTGACACACTTACAGCCCTAAGTTCACTCACCATCTGTCCATCTTTCCAAGAGAGTAACTGCCAACCTGTATGTATTATTGTCAACCATTAAACCAGGAATAATGATTTGTCACAAAAGATGAAAGTAAAAGATTATTTTATAATGTATATTTTTCTCCCCAGGACACAATTCAAACTGCAGCAAATGGCTGCTGTAAAATCTGTGAGTATGACATTTTCCTTTCAGTTTTATGAACGTTATTAGGTTTAAAACACCTAACCCAGAGGATTTTTTAAAGGTGTGGAGAAAGATAAAGCCTGCAAGATAGTGAACATGAAAACTCGCGTTACACGGGACGGCTGTCAGTCTGAACAGGAGGTGGATATGCCATACTGTGAAGGATCTTGCAATACGTTCACCAAGTAGGGATAATACAATTTCTTTCTTTATTTAAAAGAACTAATAAATGCAGGTGTAGAGCTTAGATAATGAAAATATGCACTCCCATTTCAGGTACTCTGAAGCTGCCGCTGCTATGGAACATTCCTGCTCTTGCTGTAGGGAAACCCGATCCAGTAATCGCACCGTTGATTTGCTGTGCTTGGATGGAAGCAGGTTCACCCACACCTACATGCATGTGGAGGAGTGTGGCTGTGGCCATACTGAGTGCACCACAACTGCAGGGCTACGTGCTCGCAGAAAGCGCAGCTCAACACTGCTGTAATACGGCTGTACTGAACATCAGAAATGTTTTATCTTGTACCACTTTAACAATATTAGAAAGTAATTTACCACTTAAGTGGATTCTTTATCATCTAATCAAATAAAAACATGCAACTCAACTCCTGTCATTGTTATCTGATATTGTCTCTGAAGTCTAAATTCACTTTGCACCGGTAAAATGTTGCTCAACATTATTTAATCATTAGAAACAAGCAGCTTGGTTGCATCTAGGGTGGTATTTATTGTGGACAATATGAGACACACTGGAAAAAACATCTAAAAATGAGCAAAAATGTCTTAAATTAAGTGTATTTACTCCTAATTTGAGCAGGCAAATGAGATGATTTGCCAGTGGAATGAGTATTTTTACTCTTAAAATTAGATATTTGGATAAAATGCTCTTGAAATAAGACAATGCAATTGTGTTTTCTTATTTTAAATGTAAATTGTCTTATTCCATTGACAACGTGTCTCACTTATGTCCTCAATTCAAGCACAAATGCACTTATTTTAAGAAAAAATTACTTGTCTAGATTTCGATTTTTTCCAGTGCAGGAATTTTGCATATTTCAAAGCCGTCGTCTGTCAGTGATGACGTCGATATGTAAATCAAGTAAAATCCAAAGATGCACGAAGCACAACATACAAAATAGTGAAACATTGCTTTAATGAAACTGGCTTCTGGGGCGTTAATGTAGAGCTTTCATTATTTCGCATCATAAACATTGAATAGAATAGAATTGTGTTGATCTCACAATGGAGAAATTCACTGGAATTCACCATTATATTTACCTGACATTGGCTCTGATAAAGAAACAGAAGGTGAACAAAGCAGTAAAAGTTGCATGACGTATATACAGTGCATCCAGATATATATAGTGGATGGAAAGAAATAAAGGAGAATAGATTCATGGCCACTTATAAATACAATTAGCTTAAGTCAGATGCTTCATTAGATGCTGATTATCATATCAAGCCTGACCATCAACCCTTTTGAATTACGGTACACTGAGCCAAAGTAAAACTTTCATTGTATTATATAAATTTTTTTTCATAATAATTTAACTTTATTGATCTCACATTGCAGAAATGTACCTCTGCATTTAGCACATCCCCTTTAGACATTCCAGCTCAAGGATAAGAATATTGGAAATGTTCAGTAAACTGCTGAGAGGAATCAGAAAACTGAGTTATTTAAAAATAAAAGAACTAACCGACTGGTTATTGATTGGTTCAAAACGTTTAATGACTGAACTGATAAAACTGAACAGAAAAGAGATGCAGGCTGCTGAGAAAAAGCGGACCGCAGCGGCTGCAGGAGTGGGGCGGGGCTCCACGTAATCACTGACACTCTGGTTTAATAGTTCAGTCTGTCCTCTCTGAGGAAGGCAGAATCCAGCTGATGGTCGCCCAAACAAGCTGCAGCTCGGGTCCATCCAAAGTGTCCCCGATGCAGCAGCCCCAGTGAGTAGGCAGGAGACCGATCCACGTCAGAAACAGTCCAGAACAGGACAGTTCCATAGCCTGACCAGGGGTTCCGATCCGAACAGGAACAGACAGATCCAGGGTTCCAGGAATTCTAAAAGCGTGAAGGCAGGTTCGGCGTTCTATAAGTCCAGCAGTGAGCTCAGAGAGACACGCTCAGATAGAGACAGGCAGGTTCAGTGGTTGAGGGACAGAGACAAGACATGGTACCAGGAATTACTGCTGAACTTTAAACTGGTCTCCACCTTGGAGCCATGCTTACGGGAATTAAAACTGACCACACCCCCGCATGCCGAGGCAAGACGCTGAGGGCTCAGGGAAGAAGAGCTGGGATACGATCAGGAGACAAACACCAAACCCTCTTAATCCACTGGCCTCCAAGAGTCAGGCGATGAACCAGGAACTTAACTAAAACTCGAAAACAAACATCAACAAGTGAACACATAACACGAATAAACAAAGAATACACGAATAAACAGAGAATAGTGATCTTACCCCGATAGTTGGGCTGAACCATATATATTAGCAGAGGGAGCAACTGAATAAGATCACGGCAGGTGAGTGAAGTGAGAAATCAGATCAGCTACCGCTGCTGCGATTATGACACCACCTGTTATTCTGTTGTGGAGTGTAATTTGCTGTATCCAAGGTTCAAAGAGCAACTTTACCAAAAACATAACAGCACTTATTTAGTTGCAAAAAGGTCTTGGATACTGAGACTTGGGTATTCCAGAGCAAAATCTTAAATCAGAAAATGAGATGGTCAGCTAGATGGGACACATATGTGACAATAACTTCTAAACAAAAGTATTTTGCTGTTAGGTGCTAAATTCTCATACAATGCTCATCAGAACTTGATAAGAAAGATTCTTTGGCCTAAAGTATTTTTTCAACCATTAATGTAAAAAAGAAGGAAAGCTCAATTTATAAAATTTGCTCTATTTGCCATTTTTCGTTCATGAAAATAATTTGTTGAGACAGATCTCCAAGGAAATGATCATTTTGCGTTTTTAACAGAATAGCTGACAAACCTTATTTTGGGACAAACTATTTGTCTATTTGAACAGATCTTTAGATTTTTTTAAAGTGGGACTGATAATGAGAAGGTATATACATTTATCTAAATCAAGTATCTAAATCATTCAATCCCTGTGTTTCAATCAACCTGCAGACAGTTCCTAAACCATTTTTAAAAGAAAAAGTTACTCTAAGAGGCTCAGAGACATTGAGTGTGGTACCATCATAGGTTTCCACCGCTGCAATATGTTTGGGGGGAAATTTATTAAATACTAAAAAAAATTCACAATCAGTTTGTGGAATCCAATTAATGAATCACAATTAGCATGCAGTGGTGTTCTGTAAAACAAACCACCACAGGACTGAGCAGCGGAGATGTTCTCAGAAGTGTATTCCTTAAACAATTCAGTTTTCAGTGTATAGTTGGGTGCAAAGGACATCACAGCAATTCCTGAGGTGAGATAGGCCCTTTGCTTTACTTCAAAAGAAGCTCTAATGCTCTAGTACGGAGGTCTTCAACAGAGGGTCCAGGACCCCTAGGGGGTCCACGGAGTTACTGCATGGGGGTTCCGAAAGTTTTGGTTGATTAGACTTGTTTTTTTTTTTTTTTATATACCCACCGTCGATTTTTCCACTAGTTGAAATGTCTTTAAATCCACATTAACATGAATCCAACAGACTGTAGTAAACAGATAAATGGAGGCAGAAGATGTCTTTCAGTCATCAATGCTCACATTCAGCGACACACAGGAGCTCTTTCAAGCTGGACACCGTTTCATTCACAACACCTGTCCCATCAACCATGAATCAGAAATACTTTAATAATCCCAGGGAAGGATTACTTTAGTTACATTACTCCATCTGTAATAGAGTGACTATAAGACCAGTTTGATAGAACACTATTTCATACTATACATATAATTTGGGGGTCCCTGCTCCATCTGGTCATCAGTTTGGGGTCCTTGGCTTGTAAAAAGTTGAAGACCCCAGCTCTAGTATATAAAAACATTTTTGACACTGAGGACAAAGTTTTGCTTATGGCTTCTTCCTGCTGCAGTACAAGATGTTGGATTGTTATTGTTATTTAAATAATTAGTGCAAAGATTTTGAGTCAGGCCTTATTTTCCACCTTTAGTGCCAGGGGGTCTGTTTCACAAAGCAAGATTTCTGAAAACAAAGTTTTCTAAACCTTAAAAATGTATTTGTATTTTGTTTACACAAGTGTAAAATAGAAACATATTTTGTTTCATATTTTTTTAAAGTTCAGCCTGGAAAAATAGTTAAAAAAATATATAAATAAAAACAGTAATATAAACAAATTTTATTGTTTATATTTTTGTTTGTTATATTCTTACCTTAGATTGTATTAAACACATTAGTAACTTAAAGCGTTTTTATATAGTAATCTGGCAGATTGGGTAGAAAGTCAGGTGGAAAGTTTTCAGAATATGCTTTTAAAATAATTTGTACTTCACTTACGACAAAAATCATACAGTTATTTTAGCTTTTAAAAATGTTGCATTTAAAAAGAGATGCAGAAGCGTTTTAGAGTTCAATCTTTTTTGCATGTAGAGGATGAAAACATTTTCCCATCCTGAATTTAAGAACATTATTAACTACACAGAAAATAACAGGAGTATAAACACATAGATGGTTGAACAAACAATAAGTTAATATAAAATCAAAGAACCATAGCAGCAAAAATATTAGACAGAAAGCAGTGGGCTCAGGATGCAATAAAAATAAAATATATAACGTTTTATTGAACAGCAGCATTTTTAGTATTAGCAGGAAACAGGTGGAACTTATGAGCAGAACTAAAACTGAAATCTGAATAACCTCTTTTTAAGTTTAAAGAACGGCAGTTTCTTAAGTGGAACCAGCAATATTTCATGAACAACCGCAAAATTTTAGTTTATAGTGTTTTTTGTTTTGTTTTCTGGGGTCATAGTGACTGTTTTGCATCATTCCTGTTTGTCTGTGTTGTATTTGCAATCTTTTTCATTTTCTTTGTTACATCAAGTCAATCTAGTTTAACAGCTTGAAACGTTAAATTATTTCTATTAAACCTTCAGATGAAGATATTTTTTGAATAAATAACTAACGATAAATACCCAATAGTCAGAAGATAGAAGCATTTCATTTAAATTTAATTACATCTTGCACTCATCAATTCAAATACAAATTTTTCAACTGAAATACATTAAGAGCAGGTAAGCCAGCATATAATGTGCCGCTACTTCTGTTACCGGTATTTGCTTTTTAAGCTTTGACAACAGATTCCGTTACATTTAGTCTCTCTTAATTAATTGCTGTTTTTTATGTTGGTTTTATTTGGTCCTATGCAACACTTGCAAAATGCTTTGATGAATAACATCAACTTCCAATTTGAATAATTGATAACTCATTTTTCTGTATCACAGAGGGAAAAAGTTAATTATTGAAAAATAAACTAATCTGATAAGCAATGACATCAGCTGTAGCAATCACAACTATCTG